TATATATATCTGTGCGTGTCTCTCTTAATGTCTCTACGTGTGTCTCTCCTTTGGTGTCTCTATGTCTCTCCCTTTCTTTTTCCTTTTCTTCCTCTCTCTCCCTTCTTTCTCCCTTCTCTCTCTGTGTCTGCCCCTGTGTGTGTCTCTCCCTCTTTATGTCTCATCGTGTCTCTCTGTCTCTGTCTCTGTGTGTGTGTCTCTCTTTATGTTTCTCTGTGTGTGTCTCTCTCTGTCTCTCTGTGTGTCTCTCTCTATGTCTCTCTCTCAGTCTCTGTCTTTGTCTGTTGAAAATGCGTTACGTGTGTGAGTAAGATGCTGTAGTAAAGTTTTTAACACTCTTATTAGCAAATATTACGTTCACATGATGTAACGGGGGCTACCCAGTTAGTCACAGACCCAGTTTGTCACAGGCCCAGTTTGTCACAATTTCATTTTCATTTAAGTATTTGAGTATTGATGACAGTCACAATTACAGCACTTTAACACTGTAGTTGTAACTTAAGTTTTTTTTTATTCTCCGCCTTCAAATTGATGTTGTAAAGATAGTCCCTCTTAAATATTAATTCAACTTGTGCTGTTCAATATTTCTTCCTTTTTGTGTGCAAATCAAAACAAATTACTCTGTAAAAATTCAACAAAGAATGTTCTTTCGTTAAAAACAGTTGAAAAATAAAATTCAATTCGTACTATCAATCAATCATTCATTTACTCTTTTTGAGAGTGTCAGGAAGAACTTCCATCATGCAGGGCACAGTCGAGGCGGGTAGCGCAAGCTTCCGATGTAGTGAAGTAACTGAAATCTGAACACAGAGCTAGGGGATGCTGTACAATTTACTCCACTTGACTGGTCAACTTCATCGTTTAATTCCCAGTTCTAGAAACAGGGGGCATAGCTCCAGATGACCCTGTCCCGAGCAGAAAGTATAGATAATGTCATAAGAAAGAACAGTTCTACTCCAAAAGTTTAGAACTTTTGCGAATTAAAAAAAATGAGACTTTTCGCTGCCAGATCCATCTTGCCGCAACATTTTTGACATTTTTTATCCTCAACCAGACCCCAATAATGATCTCCCAGTCGGATATATCGATAGGTATGACTGTTGAAGACGATGGCAATCTTTTCCATTACATCGATGATGATTTTGGCGGTAGTGGAAGTTGCAAGGGATCACTACTAGAGCTACCAGAGGCTAGATCTACGGCTGGGTCTAATGATGCTTTCACTGAAGTGGAGTCAGGGATCACACATAAAACTTTACTAATAGAGTTGGTCCTAAAAACAGTGTTTAACCTTTTCCCCTTTTGTCCAGACTGTGCATTCATATACTTAACATTTTCAAACTTCAGCAAAATCTAACAACAATTGAATACCCAGTAAATAAAACAATGAACAAAGCTGATTTTTTTCTAGTGGTTTAGAGGTTATGGTGTTCGCCTCTTATTCAATAGGTCCCGAGTTCGAATCCGGACTGCGACGGAAAATTTTGTTCTGTAAAATGTCCTCCTTTCACCTCCTTTCCTGCTCTTTAACACTGTTCTGTCGTCTGCTTTCGTCTTCACTTTCTGCACCTACCCCCTCACCCCCTTTGTCCCTTCCCCTGGGCTCCTGACTCTAGTATTTTGGCTGCCTTTCTACTGCTACTCCTTTCTCCATCTTACTACTATCTTTCAGCCACACCTCTGATCTTATGGTAGGTAAGATCTAAGTTGATCTAACACCTAGCCTTCTCGGATTAGGGCAAAATTGCCCACTTTAAAGATCCCTTGGTGGTTCAAAATCGTTAAGAGTAGGCTTCCTTTTTTCCTATTAAACATTTCTCATCCTTAAAATTATCTCTCCTCCTTTTCTGTGTTTGTTACACATCGCCTCTTATCTTCAGCACAATGACCCATTAGTGTTGCAAGTGCGATAAAACTCTTACTAAAACTAAACCAAATTAAATAATAAGTTATAAAGAGACGAAATCAGTAACAACTTCGATGTTCACCATGCCACAATAATTTATGCTCAAACTCAATTGCGAATTACTTGTTTAACGAAGAGATAACTGAGATTAATCAGTGCAAACGTGGGCGTGAAAAAGAAAACAGATTGCAGTATCCCAGTTCGAGGTCACGTACATGTAGGCGTCTCTCGGTCAATCTGGAAAAAATAATTCTGTCATGTTGTTTTCGGACAAGGAGGGGTTCAAGATCTGGGACAATGCTGAAAGTGGTAGAACTTTACAAAAAAACGTCTTCCTGTCTGTTTCTTGACGTATGTTCGTGCTGACACTGTTCCTATCAATTTCTCTCTCTCTCTCTCTCTCTCTGTCTCTGTCTGTCTGTCTGTCTGTCTGTCTGTCTGTCTGTCTGTCTGTCTGTCTGTCT